TAATATGCACTCCGTAACAAGAATATTCAGGAAATATATCAAATACAGCTCAGAAATATCTTTGCCAAATTTCATCGAGATCGGTTCCGATTTGGATATAGCTCCCATATATATCTTTATCCCATTTCAAGATAATTGTACACCAAATGGGTAATACAAGTCCGAATTTAAAGGATACAAATGCTTCGGCATATTTAGTCCTTTGAACTTTAAATTATAATTATAATCATAGCGTGTATGATTGAATTCTCCCATAAAAACTTTTAGTTGTTATGCGGAGCTCTACTAAATTAGCAAAGTGGTGTAGGGTATCATAAAGTCGGTCCCGCCCGACTTTAGGACTTTCTTTACTGGTTTTATTTTGAAAATTTACAGTGGGACAAAAAAATCCCCTAGTCCAAATATGTTTCTCATTCATAGAATTTCATCCGAAATCTTCTAGACGACCCCACGCATGTATGCTCGCTTTCAAGTTAGACCTAAGTTATCTAAACCAAGTCAAGCCACCATCTATCCAAGCATACATTCGTTCTTCCGTTCCGTTCCCCCACCCCAGAGATATCCATCCATCCATCTATCTATGTGCCGTCTATTAAATGTAGCTGGTGATGCCGCTGCTTAATGCTGTTGTTGTTGTCGTTGTTAGTAGTAGTTCCGCTACGTTAACGTGTTACATCTCGTGTCTATCTTGTTTTAGTTTCAGTTTTACTGACCGTCATCGTTGTCGTCGTATCATTTGATACAATTCTTCTTTGTTTTCCTCTTCGTTGTCATTATTAAAAGTGTTGTGTTATCAGCAACGTAATTAAGGTAGATGAAACAGAGGCATGATCATCATTATGATCCTCATCATAATTATGATTATCTTTAGATACAGATTTGGGCTTGTGTTTGAACGATTTTTTCATTGTAGTGGTGATCTTTCGAGGGGGTTCAAATTCTAAGGTAGTTAACTATTTTTATGATTTTTGCAGAGAGAGAGAGAGAAAGAGAGAGGGGGAGAGTTAGAAATTTTATTGGGAATAAAATATCACCAGCCAATGAAGAAATGGTCAGTAAAAAATTTTTCTATGGGATTCCAACTCAGATGATATAAAGCTTTCCCTATAAAATGAGCAAAAATTGTCTAAAAATTTACTATAGCCAGTCATAGATCAGGGCTCCCACCTTGACCTCCCTTCGACTCTGTGCAATTCTTTGGGAAGTCTATCAATAATTTCTTAGTCCTCTGGAAAACGCAAAGAAATATGTATCTTTGAAGAATTCTTTCAGAGGGACATCTATTTTTATGAGAGCGTCAGGCATTTTGCGATCCAAAAAAGGACCTGAGAAGGATTTTTCGAGTTAGAAGACCTTTGATAGTTTCAAATCTAAAAAAAGGAATTTCGGAGGATTTTTGTTGTAAGAAGACCTTTGTTGGTTCTTTTCTGTAAAAAAATGTACTTTTGACGTCTTCTAATAAGAGAAGGTCCTAATAAGGTTTCTATTTCTTCGTTTTTTCAAAGTCCAGGAAAGTCCATATGAAGGATAAAGTAGAGATTCAGTAACTCTTTCATCCATGGAATGTTTTCAGGAGGTTTTCTACAGGTGTATATGGAAGTCTTGGAGATGGTATTTTATTTATATGACACCAAAAGAAGGATTCATACGTGCCTCTATAGATTTATAGGAGACCTGTAAAAGCTTTTCTACAAGACCATAGCATGCCGACAATTTATACAGATAAGGATATAATTTGTATTTATAAAAGAACTGGTCTTCAAGAAAGTAAGAATTTTAGAAGGTTCTCCAAGTACAGAGAACCTGTAGATGATTCTACAGAAGACCTGTGGAAGGAAGACTTTTTGATGATTGATCAAAAGTAGACCTGTAGATTATTTTCCTACTACCTTAGACTTGTAGACCTTTTCCATCTACAGTAGACCTGTAAAAGGTCTTCCATCTAAAAAAGACCTGAGAAAGGTTTTCAATATAAAAAGGCTTTTGGAAGGTCTTCTATCTGCAGGAGACTTGCAAATATTTTTCCTTCTACCGTAGAACTGTAGATAAATCTTACATTTTCAGAAGACCTGTAGAAAGTCTTTAATCGAAAGAAGACTTTTTAAGGTTTTTAAAGTACAGAAGACATTTAGACTCTCCTTCATCTGCAGATGGTGTTCAATCAAACGAAGATTTTTTAAGGTCTTCCACCTACAGGAGACTTCTACCGTAATTTTCCTCCTGCCGTAGACCTGTAAATTGTTCCATCTTAAGTAAACCTGTAGAAGGTCTTCAATCGAAAGAAGGCGTTTTGAAAGTCTTCTATCTACATGAGACCTCATACTATGATTTTCCTCCTACTCCTACCTGTAGAATTCTTCCATCTTCGGTAGACCTTCAATGGAAAGAAGACTTTTAACGATTTCCCTTGAAGCGCTCATCGTACAGAACACTTGCTGAAAATCCTCCATATATAGAAGACCTGTGCAAGGCTTTCAATCGGAGAAAGTGCTTTTGTAGGTCTTCTACATAAAGAATGTTCTTCCTACCGTAGATCTTTAGAATATCTTCCATCTTCTGTAGACCTGGAGAAGGTCTTTAATCCAAAGAAGATTTTATGACCAGTTTCATCTACAGGTTTCTTCTCTTAGTGTAGACTTGTAGACGCTCCTCTATCCACAGAAAACCTATGGAGTGGGTAATTGAAAGAAGTCTTCAATCGAAAGAAAAAGGCGTTCTTCGATCTAAATAAGATTTTTTAAGGTCTTCGAAGTACAGAAGACTTGTAAAGGTATTCTATCTACAAGGTTTAATCGAAAGAAGACTTTTTGACGATTTTCCTCAACAGAAGATCTGTAGGTGATTTTTTATCTACTGTAGACCTGTAAAAGGTTTCAATCGAAAGATGTTTTCTTGACAAATTTCCATCTACAGGAGATCTGTAGATGTTTTTCTTCTTCCTAGACTTGCAGACGCTACTCCATGAACAAAAGACCTGTGGGAGACCTTCCTTCTATAGAAAACATGTGGAAGGTGCTCAATCGAAAAAAGAAATTTTTAAGGTCTTTTATCTACAGGAGTCCTATTACCGTGTAGTTCTTCCATCTTCAGAAGACATGTACAATGTCTTCGAGAGAGTTCTTCAGGTATTCGAAGTACAGAAGACTTATAAAGGTATTCTCTCTACAGGAGACCTGTAGCTGATTATTCATCTATTGAGGACCTGTCTTCCATATTCGACGATCTTTATTTAAGGAGATGTGTAGATGTAGCGTAGACTTGCAGACGCTCCTCCCTTTACAGAAGTCGAAGTACAGAAGACTTGTAAAGAGATTTTATCTATAGGAGACCTTTAGATAATTTTTCATCTATTGTAGACCTTTCGAGGGTCTTCAATCGTAAGATGACTTTTTGACGATTTTCCATTTACAGGAGATTTGCAGATGATTTTCCTCCTACCGTGGATTTGTAGATGCTTCTCCATCTACAGAATACCTGTGGAAGGTCTACAATCGCATGAAGGCTTTTGGGAGGTGTTCTATCTACAGGAGACCTCCTACCGTAATTTTCCTCCACCTAGACTTATTGTTCGAATTTCCAAAATATCATTAACATGCATCCCATCAACGACCTCATTCCAAAGTTAACAAGTAAAAAAGCTCTAAATTCAGCCGGGCCGAACATTGATTACCCTCCACCATTTGGAACGAATTTGGCAATTTTCAAAAAATAAAATCAGTTAAAAATTCTGTTCAAATCTTAAAAATACCGAATGTAGCCGTTATATTAGCGTCTATACGATAGGCAACTTTTGCGGTAAGCCATTATATGTTATGGCTTATGATATATCGCTATATTCCGTTATATGGGACTATACGAAGACATGGACCTGCACGGACAATTTTCTGTCATAGCCTCTAGTATCTATTACGAACTGCAAATACCAAATTTGAAACAATTCCGGTGAATAATGTCTCTAAAATCACCAAAATACCGAAAATAGGGAGGTACCATTATTTGGGGGTTATACCAAAACGTGGGCCTACAATGTCCATTTTCGATACCAAAAGTCCTGCAGACATAATATACATATGTGTACAATTTTATCAACCTACTTCATTTCGTTTGGAAGCTAGAGTGATTTCCACTGACGTACAGACGAATGGACGGACAGACGGAAATCGCTAAATCAAAACAGAGTTTTATGCGGATCAAGAATATGTATACTTCGTGGGGTCTGAAATGTATATTTCGAGGTGTTATAAACGGAATGACAAACTTAATATACCCTCCATACTATGGGCAAAAAAAATCTAGCTCTATCCGCTTACCCAATACAATGTATTATATTTTTACTACCTTTTTCTACTTCTGGTACACTTATAGTTCGAATTTTCAAAAACCTTGCCTTATTTTATCCCTACGCACGAATATTGCCCCACTTGCAAAATTCCAGATTCCAGCTTTAATCTTTTACATGTGGAAGAACACCAAGGGGATTTTCTTTCTACAGATGATCCAAAAAGGGGGTTTCATAAAAGACCTGGAGAAAAGTTTCTTCAGATTGAAGCCCTAAAGTTTCTTCGTCGGCTTTCTGCTCTGTGGAGGGTCTTTAGTAACAGTTCTTCTCTTCAAGCGGGTATGTGTTCTTCTCCGTTAATGGACTTCCCCTAAGGGGTCTTCAATCAAATCTTCTTTACCACTGAGGAAGAAGACCTTTAGGACCTGTGCTCCAAGAACCAATTAAATGCTTAGCCTAAGTACTTCGTGTTGCAAACGATCATCGGGTCATCTCTGAAGAGTCATCTCCAACGTCATCATCATAATCATCATCATCAGCATTGGTTGTTGTCATTGTTGTTTTCGTTGTTGTTGTTGTGTGGTCTGTGTGTGGTGGTGGTGGCTTGGAAGATGTTGACTGTCTGCTCCATCACACCAGACCACAATAGTGGAGCGGATACAAGTCTCTATCAAAGTCTGGCTAAATAACATTTTTTTTTTTTTTTTCATTTTTATTTTAGACGCAGTGGCAGCCAAGCAACAGTTCAGCGGCAGAGGCAACTGAAAAGCTAACAACTACCACTACAGCTGCAACATCACTGTGATCTTCATCATCTGCTAAAACAACAACAAAGTTAAGAGAACAACAAAAACAATAGCAGAAGAAAAACGTTAGTTTTTCTCAGACTCTGTTTTGTGTTTTTTTTTTTTGTTGTTGCGTTTTCGACTTGGATTTGTGAGATTGTGAAATATCATCAAACCGAAGAAGAAGAAGAAGAAAAACGAAACGAATAACTTGAACTGAAACTACTACTACCGTTCGTGAACGAAAACAACAACAACATCGTCATCATTGTCTCTGAGTCTGAGAGGAGTCCAAGCCAGCTCCACAACTATATCTGTGAGCCGCCTCAATTGCTGGCACCTAAGCTGGAATCTAAGACGTTGCCACACCGCCATAGCCATTAGACCATCAGTCTGTCAGTCATCGTACTGTCTCAGCGCCGAAGCCGCCTCTTCGACCCTCCCTCCCTCCTTCCCGTGGCCAACGGGTGGATACTGAAACCGTGGATACTCTTAGTCAGGTAAGCTATGGCTATGCAATCGCCGCTGAAGCTTCATTTATACCGTTTTATTAGTTTTTGGCAATAGCCAAGCATTTGAGACGTGCCAAACCTCTTCCAAGAGCTTGGGACACACAGACCAAACCAGACCCGATCAGACCTGGAAAAGCAAAATGCATTTCATTTTGCCATTTCTTAAAGACGAGTTTCACTCGTCTTGGTCGTGTTGGTTCATAAGCCATGATTTGCTTTGATTATTCTCAATAAATTTTCAGTTTTTCTTGGGGTGGCTTGGCAATAGATGGCCTCTCTACCCCTTTCCTTACCTCCCCCCCAATCACTTGGCATTCTTGGTTAATATTTTGTGCAATGCATATTTCTTCACATATTTCGTGTTACTTATTTTGTTGGCCAGTGTAGATTGGTTTTGGTTTTTCTATTTTTTTCCCTGACAAGAAAATAAATCGCCAGCCAACAAAGCCGGAAGGCCCAGCGTCGTGCCACTTGCCTTGCCAGCCAATGTGTGTCCTTATTTACATCTTAGTCTATGGAAATGATTTGCATTTTTCTTTTCTTGTTGCTGTCAGTTTTCTTGGTAGGTGTGGGGAAGAAGGGGGTGACGGCTCGTGTTAATGATCTTCAATAGTCATTCGAACAGGTGCCAATTTCCATGTCAATTTTGTTGAAAGATAATCAATTTTCATTGGTGGAATTATGCCAAATAATGTCAGCAGATCAAAGTTCGTTGATTTGATGGACAATCGATTTTATTTTCTTGACTGAAAATGGGATTGCAGGAAGGGTTGATCGGGAATGTGTTATTGGTTATTGATCTTGAGAATAGGCCAAAATGTTACGAGGCTCCAGAGAAAATATATTACAAGTAGGACAAAGGTAGGCTTTTTGGAAGAATTCCTTAAGATGGATGTACTAAGGCCATATTTAATGTAGGCCCTCCTTGAAAGAATATCAAAGATAGGAGATATTCTAAACTTAGAACCTTTTCTCAGCAGAGAATTTCTAAGGGTATTAAATAGAGAAGATCTTATACAGGTCTTTTTAGCACAGAAGATTCTTCAGAGACCTCCTAAAGGTCCTTACAGCATTGAAGAGACTGAAGGCTGCTGACCTACCGGAGGCCTGCCAAACACCGAAAACCTTAAACATAAAAGGTCTTCCACTGGCCTCCTTAACCTAGCAGATTTTCGATTAAGCAGATTTTCGAAGGTTCGTAAACCATGGAAGACACTGAAGGTCCTCCAGCAAGGTCGACCTACAGACGACCCTCTAAGCGAAGAATAAATTCCGAACATTTCCAATGCTTGTGAGATCTCTTAAATGCAGAACACTTCTCTGAATGTTTTCTTAAAATATTAAAAAATTGAAGATTTCAAGAGGACGGATCATAGAAAGTATTCTAAACATAGAATACCTTTAGGATTTTTGTTTAAAGGAGATTTTCCAAAAAATAAAAATCTCAGGAATGACTTAAAAACCTACAAGTCTTCATGGCTGTCTTCCAAGTCTAGAAGACCTCCTGCATTTTTTCCAAACAAAAAATACCTCCAAAGTCATTAAAGTCCTCTTGAGGGTCGTCTGCTAAAGATAGAAGACCTTTGCATGAATGAAACACCTCTGATGCTCTTCTAAATATTGAAAATCTCAACAGAGTAGTTCTTAAATGTGAGACCTCCCAAAAGTACATAGAAGTCTTCGATAGTATTTTTACACGAAGACTATCCCCGAGGATCTCCTGTATACAGAAGGCCTCCTTTAGTTCTTTTAAACATAGAAGATTTCCTGGAGGTTTAAAAAAAATAAAACGCCTCCTGAAGGTCATAAACCACCACTTGAAAATCTTTGGGTTATAAAGAAGCCTCAAGAGCCTCTAAACATAAAAGACTTCTTGAGATTCATTAATGCCTTGAATATCTCCAGCACTTTTTCAAAATACTGAAGACTTCCTGAAGTGAAATTATTTAAAAGGTTGAGGAACGCAGAAAACCCCCTGAATGCCTTTTAAATATAGAAAACCTTTTAAAGATATTCTACAAACGGTTATCTAAAAATAAAAATCCTCCTGAAGGTTATTTGAACAATGAAGACCTTCTGAAGAGCTCTTACAAATAGAGTAGATCGTGAAGACCTTCTAAAAGTCTTCTACACATAAAAGATACCGTGAAGGTCTTCTAAACTATCTCCTAAATAAAGAGGATATTCAGAATATCTTCTGAATTTTAATAAACCTCTGAAGGTCTGTTGGGGATGGCAAACCTTTTGAAGATCTTCTGCAGTATGAATAACTTCAGATGGACTTCTATGGATATACAAGCTCGTATGGACTACTTAAAGGGCCGCAAACTCCCCCTTAGCTCGTCTATGGCACCATAGTCTAAGTCCCTTTGAACGAGGGGGTCTATAGGTTTTCAAAAATAAGTCGAAGGGAGTCTGAATAGGGCGCCTATAGACTAGATGAAAAGGCTTCAATATAAGAGCTAACTAGGCATTTATAGACAAGCTGACTAAGGCGAGGGGTATATAGGCGAGTTGGAAGGGAATTATACAGAGCCGCGTTAAAAGAGAGTCTACAGACGAGTAGGAAAAGAGAATCATTAAACCAGTTGGAAAAGGAGCCTATAGACGAGTTGGAAATGAGTCTGTAGACGAGTTGGAAAATGAGTCTATAGACGAGCCGAATATGGCATATATACACGAGCTGAATAGGGAGTCTATAGACGAGCTGAATATGGAGTCTATGAACGAGCGGAATAGAGAGACCTCAGACGAGAGGAATAGGGTTTCTGAAGAGCTGAATAGGGTGTCTATAAAAAAACTGAATAAGGCGTCCAAAGACGGGCGGCATAGAGCGTCCATAGACGAGCTGCAAAGAGGGTCTATAGACTACCTGAAAAGAGCTTCTATATGAGGTGTGAAAGGGAGTGTTTAGACGAGCATTAGATTTTTAAAAACGTACTGAAGTCAGTCTTAATAGATGAGGTTATGGGAGTTTTTATAGACAAGCTCAAGAGACCATCTTTTTAGACAAGATGTAGATATCGTTTTTATGGACGTGCTGAATAGGTCGTCTACAAACGAGCTGTAAAGGGACTTATAGACGAGTTAGAAAGGAGTCTGTAGACAAATTTAATAGACGAGCTGAATTCGAGGTCTATAAACAAGCTAAGTAGGGGGCACAAAAGTTGAAAGGGAAGTCTCTGTAAGCGCTAAAAGGGAATGTATAGACAAGTCAAAAGGACGTCTGTAGACGAGCTGGAAAGAAAGTTTTTAGAAGAGTTGGAAAGGGAGTTTTTAGACGAATTGAAAGATGAGTCAGGCGATCTGAATTGGGCGTCTATAGACGAGCTGAATAGGGAGTCTATAAATGAAAGGGAGTCAATAGACGAATTGGAAAGGAGGTCTATAGACGAATTGTAATGGGAGCTTAGAGATGAGTTGGAAAGGAAGTTGAAAGGGAAGTCCACAGACGAGTTGTAGAAGGAGTCTATGTACAAATTGGAAAGGAAGTCTATTAACGAAAGGAAAAGGGAGTCTGTAGACGAGTTGGAAAATGAGTCTTTAGACGAGTTAGCCATTTTAATAGAATTTTTCTGTGTTAGCTTTATTATTAAGAAGTCCCCAACCATATAAAAGACCAAACCTAGACGACTTCCCTTGAGATCGCCTTTATAGGATGTTATAGCTCCCCTTGAGCTCGTCTGTGGCCATAAACTCAATTTCAATCTCATCCCTCTTGAACTTGCCCATCCAGTCATCGGTGTGCCTCAAACATTCAGTAATGAAATAAAAATAGCCATGCGCTGGCCTGCAGTAGTTTATCAAATAGTTTGTTTTTTTTTTTCCTTCATTTTTGTCTCCGAATACATTAGCTTAAGATAACAGTTATGAATGGTGTCAATCACATTTCAATTCATAATCGCCCATAGTTATTGGTGCGGCATTATATTGTAATCCATAAATCAAACACAGCGATTTACATAAACGCGTGATAGACCACTTTTATTTATTACATTTGAACTTTCTCCTTCGTTGTTGGAGCTGGAGTTGAAGTTTAAAAGCTTAACATGACCTTCTACATAACTCAGACATTAAACAGTGAAGCTATTTAAAACAAAAAAGAAACAGAAACCCAGCTAGTTTATGACACATACCTCCGAAAGACAGGTATTTCAATTAAATATTTCGGGATACCAACAAAAGCAACAAAAACAATTAGAGAATAAAAAGTACCTACCCATTTCACACTTCGTGGGGGTCAGCAATGCTACTTTTGTTGTTGTTGTGTTTTTTTTTTGTCATAAAAAACGATTTCAATCCAGTCTCTAGAATCGCCACAAGGTCAAATCACATCACACTTGTGTGTACTGACATTCATACATATGGACATTCTGTTTCTGGTTTTAAAACTTATCGTATATTCGATGGTTGTATATTTTTTTAAATAATAAAATAAGAAATAAAAGAGAATTTAAGGTAGTGTTTAGCTAAACTTGTTCTTCGGGAGTTTTTTTTTTTTTTCTGAAATAAAAAAAAAGATCAGATAAATACCATTTGCTTAAAATCATAATTAATATAATGAGGAGCGGACTCTTTCCTCTGCTTTTTTGGAAAAGAATGGGGGACAGTCGAACCTCTTTAGGAGGAAAAGGAAAAAAAGTCAAACCCAAAAAAACTCACACTCGATTTGGAAGGAAAGTTTTTAGATGAGTTGGACATAGAGTCTATAGACGAGCTGGAAAGGAAGGTGGAAATCGGAAAGGGAGTCTATGGACGAGCTGGAGAGGGAGTCTATAGCCCAGCTGGAAAGGGAGTCTAAAAGCCAACTGGGATGGGTAACTAGCTGGAAAGGGGGTCTATAGATCAGCTGGAAGGGGACAATATAGACGAGCGGGAGAGGGAGTCTATAGATAGAAGATATAGATGGGAGTCTATAGACGAGCTGTAGATGGGAGTCTATAGACAAGCTGTAGATGGGAATGTATAGACGAGCTGAAGATGGGAGT